TCCACAAAGACAATTACAACATTCTCTAATGAGGATTAAGCAATTTGCACCGGTCCCTGAGGTTCTATCTCTGTCGGTTGCTTGTAGTTTAATCCCTTTAGGTTCTTTTGTCTAGAACTCTATTTTTAGAGCTTCTCATTTCTCTTTGTTAGGGATGTATGGGGTTTCTTAACCTCCGGATGTACATTTGGCTTCGAGTAATAATATCTATCGTTTCGTTAAAAAAAAATCTGGATGTACATTTGGCTTCGAGTAATAATATCTATCGTTTCGTTAAAAAAAAAAAAAAAAAGAGTAAAAATTATTATTGTAATTATTTTTTTTTTATTGGTTGTATTTATTACTTATATTTTTTATATGCTAAAGCACTTCTAAACTTTTTTTTTTACCTTTACAAAGTCGCCGCCTTTTCCCATTTCCATTCCCCTTTGTTAGCAGCCACTTTTCCCACCAAAACCCCTCGATATAAATGGCATCGGGATCGGCCCGAAACTTTCCGGCGCGCCTTCTCTACTCCCTCTGCACCAGATCCGTCGGCCCCGCGTCGCCACGGGCATCCGCTGTGGCCGCCCTGCTCGCCGGAAATTTCCATATCCGCTCTTTCTCCACCGGAAGCGATGCCGCCGCGCGGCTGAGGGAGGAGAAGGTGGCATGGTGGAAGGTGTCCCTGCATTATTTCGTTTCCTTGTTTTGAATTTATGTGTGTTCTTCTGTTTGTGTCTGAATTTATGTGTGTTCTTCTGTTTGTGTCTTTTATCATTAAGCTTGTTTTGTTTACAATATGCAGGAACAAAAGGATGATTGTGGGGATCAACCAGAAAAGAGAGATTTCATGATTACTGCAGATGTAAGTATACACCTTTACAATACTCTGGTAGCCCTGATTACGTCTATTTCCCCGAGACCAGCGGCCATTACAGGGCTGCTCGATGCCTCCCTCGCCTCTAGATTTCTTTCGGTACGCCAATCTCTCTCTATCTCTTATTTTAAATCGTTACGTAATTGGAAATAGTTGATAATCACCTTCAAGAGGTTTAATTTTTTTGTAATTGAATTAGTGTTTTTTTGTTCTTCTACACACTATCGCCTTTGTTCCGGTATTTAATTTTATTTCTGATTTTAATACACTGTACTGATGTTTTCAATTTTCATCTCTGTTTATAGCGCCATACTGGACTGGACTTCCATTAATACCCGACTATAATTTGTGTAGGATCCAATCATCACCGATAAGTGTGATGAACTGGCCAAAGATGAGTTTGTTGCTCAAATGGCACAGCAACTTCTGGAGGCACTCCAAGCTTCTACAGTTCTCGAGGATGGGACATTTAATGACTTTGCATTGGAGCATTTTGCTTTGGTTATGAGAATATGGAGAAACGAGAAGTTTATTTGGATTCGAAAATTGATTGTCAAGGTCTATTCTCTAGTTTTTGTTTTTTACTAGAAAACTCGGGCTATGCACGATATTCAATCTTTTGCATTCGTACAGGATTGCGTCGTTCCCGACATCATAGAAAAACTTTCGAATGAAGTGGAAAATGAACAAATTGGAGAACGCATGTGCCGTATCAAGGGAGATCACAACTTGAGTGATATTCTCCAACTCAAAAGGCCTCCTGCTACAATGATAAGGTCGTCTAATTATGCGTTGTTGTGTGAGATACTCCTAAGTGTGTTTTCATAGTCCATTTTAACATTTACAAGCATCTTTGAATTTGTACGAATGTGCATTGTTAATCTACGTCCGCCTTAAATGATTATAGTTCTTTCTCGTGAAGGGGACTTTTGATTATTTTACTTGGGTATTGGAGTTATAAAAAGCTGCCTTTGCCTTTGGGATTTGATGAAAAATTAATATCTTTTGATGGAGACTGTGGACATAAAGTTGCAGAAGATGGATCTGAGGTTATCGAAAGAGAAATTGAGGAGATTGATTTGGAATCGGCGGTAGTCTTGCACTTGTGTTTCTTGGTTCTTTTTGGTTTTTTTTTTTAATATATATATAGTTAAATACATCGTGTGTGCCGAGTTCAGTTTTACCTTCATTTAATTATTGTTATTAATTCATTTTTTTTTCTGTATTCATTACTTATTTATTTTCTTTCTTTTTCTTTTTCTTTTTTTATGAAATTCCAGGAATACAGTACACGGTTAATAGAGCCTGTAGCTCCCATTCAGAGTCTTGAAAATGTATATACCTGTTTCTTTACCCTAATTTTTGTTTAGTGTTGAATGGTTGCAGTTTATTTTCCGTAACATAAAATAAAATATTATTCACGTTGTTCCATATGCAATAAATGAACTTGGTTATATAATCTTTTTCATTGAATTATAACTTTTACTACCACAGTTAGTTTCTAAATTTCTTGCGATACAAGCACCCCCGAAAAAAAAAAAAAAATCACCAATATGCTCTTAATCACCTTTATTCATTATTAGTTAGTGATGTTTGTAGAGTTTGTCGATACACACACACACACATATGAATGTCAAATTAATTTCATTTTTTTAATTTATTTAGGATTCATTCATTGAGGAGTTGGCCCATGACTTAAAACAAGATTCCCGTCTTTTTGGAAAAACACAACAATGTATGGAATCCCTTCACATCTTTGATCCTAAAGATGATGAGGCTTTTTTTTCTGCGAAACTACATTATGATTTAGCTCATGAAGTTTTGGAGGATCCTCACTTTATTCAATTGCTTGTCGAGAGCCTTAAGGAGGTATCTCACTCTATTTTAAACCTCACTTGTGGAATAAAACGTACTTTCTTCTCCCATGGGATTAATCTTTCTTTGCTAATCCAATTGCCTTTTTCTATTATTTTTCTATTTGTTTTTATCAGAACTATCTCGAACGTCACTCAGTAGAAATATATTGCAAACCGGCTAAGGTCAGGAATGAGGATGTGTTGGCTACAGTTAGAAGTATCGTTAAAGATCGTGGCTTCCATCAATATAAGGACCAGATTGAAAAGAATGAAGATCGTGCTGTGAGGTGTTTCTTTTTTCCCTTCCTTAATAGCGATCAATCATGGTTTCTTTCGCTCAACAAGATTTATCGCTAAAACAATGTTCATCTTCATCTCAGAGTTTTCTTGTGTATTTTAATCGGTCACTGGGTGTACGATGATGTGTGTAAGAAGGTTAATGCGAAACTTTGTGAATATGATAAAGCGAAATGGGATGCGAGACAGGGTGCAAGAGCTGCTGCTTGGAAAGCTACGGGTTATGACGATGTAGAGGCGGAAATTTGTTATGTTACTAGATTTGCTGGTGATTTGAAGGTGCGCATGCCTAATAGTTATATTTTCTTGTTAGCTTGCTTTTCTCTTATATTTTCGTGTTATGACGATGCATCACATTTTTTTCTTTTTTAATGTATTACCAGGGTTTGAGGGAAGCGTTGGGTAAAGTATACGGTACTAGACCTTATAAGCATGCTTTTGATGAGGTAAATAATACTCACCATACTTACCCATAGTAATTCATTTTTATTTGAAGTTTATCGTGTCATATTTCACATTCTACCAAGTCCTGTCTCTAGACTCATCTCTCTTGGTGTTATTTTTATTTTCTTTTTAAATCCTTTATGTTTTATTTTATATTATATTTATTACATTATTCAATGGTGTTACTTGAATGTTTCAAATGTAAACTCTTTGCAGCTTAAGGTAGATCTATTTCGTGTGGAGGTCAGTGCTAGAAAAAAGCAGTTCGACGTCACATTGGAAATGGAAGCATATTTGTACAACGGCATCTGCGGATTTTATTGTGATCGAGTCCACGAACATGAGTTACATGATGACTAATTTGTTGTCTAGGAGCTATGTGTATCAACTTTCCGATTTACAAGGTACTATGGTAGGGTTGCACGTAAACTGTCTTGTTTATAAATTACTTAATTTTATGAAAATAGAACATTGAATTATAACATGCATTCGGTAAATGAAACAACCGGATCCAATTTTCTTTTCATTTTATTAAATGAATTATTTCAAATAATTTACTTTCAAACTTTTTTTTTTTTCTTTATTGTTTGGTCTTTGTTGCTCTTCACCCTGGGTTTAAACTGTAGATTATTACTTGAAATCTTGAAAAGACAACATGTTTAGCGATATTTACTGGCAGGAGCCTATTACAATGTTTTGTCCGCAAGTTAAATCATTACACTATTGCACCATCCTCCTTTAATTCCAGTCAATTATAATAAAAGAAACTTAGTTAACATAAACTCTTAAAGATAATAAGAATCCAAACTATAATTTTTTTATTCAATATGCTCGGATAGCAATCAACATACATACTGAATTTCAAAGCTATGAGTGTTATTTTTTTGTATTAATCAACACAAGGGTTCTACATACTGACTCATCCCATGTTGGTTCAACATTCTATGTGTAAATATATATTTGTTCATAAAAGTCAAATTCAGATGAAACAAATTTAGAATTTATATATATATAGTATGTATGATGCTTTGCCAAGCATATGTTATATTAGATTGGTTGGTTGAGTTGAAGTTCCTTGAATTTCTAGGAAGGCAACGTGATCGACGATATTAACAAGTTAGTAATTCATGCATTATTTTGGTTTCTTGTTTTAAATGCATGTGTGTTTTTGTTTGTGTCTCTTAAAATTGGCCAAGTCGCCTTTAGCCCATAAAACTGTAGCCACCGTATATAAGAGGAAGCTGCAATTCCATGGATGTGGTGGCGGGGATCGATTTTAAAAAAAAAAATCGGTGTCCTTTCTAGCGAGAACCTGTGACCCTTCCATAGTCATGTCGATTGGGAAAGCTCTAGACCACAAAAAATTTGAAGGGCATCTCGTTGTTCAATTGGGTTTTGATCATAAAAGATTTTTGGTTAACAAGGTAATGTATAATGAAGAGCACCTCAGTATTCAATTGGATTTTGATTATATTACTGTAATTTGAGGTTAATATAATTGATACACCAGGCCATGTTGCTTTTACCATTGAAGTTGAGAGTATTGTTTTCACTAGCACAGAAGTTTGTGCTCGAGTTCATGGCCAGTGCTTTCAAGAATAAGTCATGTTATGTGGATTTTAGGCACCATGTGGTACTTGGAACACTCTTTCTTTATTTTGGAGTTGGTGTTGCTGATTTTGTTGTTGTAGGGAGTCCAACTACTACTTGATGGTGTACTTGGCTACTTGCCTTGAAGTTAGTAAGTAACTATGTTGTTGACCAATCTAAGACTTAAGAAAAGGTATGCATTTTAAACTTCTGTTACGGCGTTGTAATGTCTTCGGACTACCAACGGACCAACTATATCCTATCATTTAACTGCTACATTATTGTTGCTTTAGCTTTCAAGTTGGAAGAAGGGAGATTTGATAATGTGCTTTGCTCTTGTCTTCTTCTTCTTCTTCTTCTTTTTTTTTTCTCTTCCTTTGTAAATGGAACTAGTGTTGATACCCGTGCGATGCACAAGGTGCAATACAAAAAATATTTTTATTTAAATATTATAAAATTGTTTCAGACAATATAAAATTATATTTTCTACAATATTCTATTAAGTAATAATATAAAATTTATTCATTTACTATTATTGTTAATTTTTATTATATATATTTTTTTGGTAGTTTTTTACTATTTAATATATAAATTTTATTACTTATAAGATTATAAAATATTGTAAATGTATAAGATCATATTATATTTGCATACAAATTACTTGTATATACTTATAAAATTGTCGTTTATCATAGTCTTATAATTTTTTCAATAATTCATAAGTTGCACATTGTTTGATAATTGACTAACATTTAACTCATAATATTTATCTTCCGCTATCATTATTAAGGGCATTAAATGTTAAAACCTTGATAAATAAATTTTAATTTGAGTAACTGTAATCCTTATGCAACACATAAATTTTTTATGGTTAAATATTTTATTTTTATGTTTTCATTTTTTATTTATATTCATTTTTTTAATTCATTTTTTCAGCCTATATAGTAGTTACATAGTATCTGTCTAAATATTTAGATATATTATATATTTCTATAATTATCAAGTGCCATAATTTGAATTATTACACATTGCTTTTTTATTAACTTATTTTTCTTTTATAAAATAGCATATAAGAAAAGAAAAATATATTTTTAAAAATTGAATAGTTTTTTAATGTACCTAGATGCTTCTAAGGTGCAACTCGACCATCAAATTTTATTTTTATAAGTATATTATTTAAATTTTCAATAGTATTATCAATGCATATGATATATTCCATGGGGATGTACCTTTTTGTTGTTAAATTAACTAAACTTAGAAAATTTTATTAATATTTTGAATAATTTATTAAATTATTATGATTTAAACAGAGTAATTTTGATAATTTTATTAATATTTTTTAAGTACATTTAAATAGTGAATATAATAAAATAGATTAATACCTACAACCATAAATGATAATATATTTAATCAAATCAATTTTCATAATAATTTTTTGAATTGTGTCAATAATAACTATTAAATTAATATAAGATCTTATTGAAAATGTATATAATAAATCTACTTTAAGTCATTTTGTAGTTAATGAGTAACAATAATTGAGCGTATAAAAACTAATTATATTTTCGTGTTAGCTTTCTTTTCTCTTTTATATTATCTCTTATGTGTTTGCATCCACGACCCACGTCTTTGTCCTTTTTTTTTTTATTATATTACCACCAGGGTTTGAATGAAGCGTTGGGTTAAGGTATACGGTACTAGATCTTATAAGCACATTTTTGAGGAGGTAAATAATACTCACCACTTATCCATAGTAATTCAGTTTCTTTGAAGTTTATCGAGTCATATTTCACATTCTTCCAAGTCTCGTATCCAATCTATCTCTCTTGGTGTTGATTTTTTATTTTCTTTTTCAATCCTTTATGTTTTAATTTTTTTTGTATTTATTACATTATTCGATGATGTTACCTGAATGTTTAAGATTGTGCAATTTCATGCGGAGGCTATTACTAGAATGGATCAGTTCGGCGTCACAATGGAAATGAAACCTCATTTATACAAGGGTGTCTGCGAATGTTGTAGTCCTCAAATCCGGGAGTTGCATACATGATGACCAATTTTAGTCCGACATCGGACCCCGTTTTTGCTTTTGGTCGTAAAAAATACCTTTTTGGAAATGGTCCTGTAAGTGAAAAAAAAAATTAATTTTTTGGTCCTCTGACCGCCTTTAGCAGGTCAGGGTAATCGGATGAGCTACGTGGAAATTCGTCCGATTTTTTTTTTTTTTTTTTT